TAGCCTTGAGAGGCTATTTCAGCTTCTCTTTGACGTGTAGGGTCTCTAACCGGGATTGTGGCTAGCACTGGCCCTAGCAAGAGCAGTGCTTCGCAGAATCTACCACCGGATCGGAAACGCGACCCACTGAGAAGATCCGGCGAGAAACTCAGTGGGCTGTGTCTGTGGGTTAATTCGATAGATAATATGTATGTTTGTATGAAGGTCATTTCCATCGACTTCAAGACGTCTGATGAGCTTGAGAATTCGCGCGCGCGTCAATGACCGGTGGCGATTCAATAATTTTATAACTTCGCTCTGATATCGTTCTATTATTTTTTTATAGCATTGATGGGTGGACGATCTCACAGCCCACCTGGTGTTAAATGATTACCGGAGCCCATAGACATCTACAGCTCAAATACCGCTACCCACCTTGAGATATGAGTTCTAAGGTCTCAGTATAGTTAGTGATTCGATCCATCAAAGATACTCCGAGTACCCTTTGTCGGTCTTTGCATAGTGCGATGAGCAACTTTGATATATATTACAGACCTTTATGTTAACTGGTACCTCAGATCGTCTCGTGAGAGCTGAGACCTGCATCGATGAGTACCTAAGCCGAAAAAACGGCTTGATCTGAAATTAATATTAATTCGGTCTGTGCGAAATGAAAATTAAAAGTCTAGATGATATTTTTTTATGAAATTTAAGCGGTAGGTAGCACAATTTTGGCGGGAACGCGAGGAGTGAAGTTGTGGGATTATTACTGGTGGTAGGACCTCTAGTGAGTCCGCGCGGGTAGGTACCTGGGTGTCTGTGGGCTCCAGTAACCACTTAACACCAGGTGGGCTGTGAGCTCGTCCACCCAACCAAGCAATAAAAAATTTTTTTTTTGTCTATTTAGTGTTTTATTAGGTTTAAATGTGTAATAACGGTGGCTTATATTTTAATATCTGTGAAAGTGCACAAATGTGGGATAATGAAACAAAGCCGCCGGACGTAACTTCTCGGGATCCTACAGAAAGTTCACTTAGAAAGTCTCAGTAAATGACCAGCATTTTACTGAGATTATATTTCATCCCATATCATCTCATCTCATTTCATTTCATGCCACGCTTCATAATATGAATCAACTTCATTTCATTTCACTTCACATTATCATTTGCAGAGCTAATTACAACATAAATCAAATTTATTTCTCAATCTAATTTATTTATACCGTCCCACGCTGCTAATTTAATTCATACTTACACTGATATTAATAATGGCCAACAGGGACAGTTTCCTTCGTTTTTTACTATTCATAAACTGTAAATAATTCAAAACGGCGAATTATAAAAATCTTATTACTTGACACTGGCTAATGCACAAACCGTGCCGGTGCCGAAAAATGAAGAAGAAGAACAACTTCTTGGTGTAAGAGAGGAACGATTTTGCAAAAAGGACGGTAGTTCCTACTTGAACGTAGCTGGTATAGCTCCTTAAGCTATGAGCTAATAAGTAGGGATACTGAGTTACTCGTCCGATCTTCTCAGGGGGTCGCGATTCCGTTCCGGTGGTAGATTCAGCGAAGCACTGCTCTTGTTAGGGCTAGTCTGCTATTCTTATTTATGTTTAAAGAAGTATTTTTTTAAATTTTTAATAGTTTCATTATATTACATTGTGTATTTATTGTATGTATATTTACGGATATATGTATGTATGTATGTATATGTATAGTTCGTTTCCAAATGATTCTTGTCCACCTGATGGTTGTCTGGAACATATCGCTCTTTTTTTATTTATTTATTTTTTATTTATTGCTTAGATGGGTGGACGAGCTCACAGCCCACCTGGTGTTAAGTGGTTACTGGAGCCCATAGACATCTAGAACGTAAATGCGCCACCCACGAAGCGATAAGACCGCTAATTGTACTATTTTGTATTTAATGTATCGCACTGTTTATCTGTTTTTTGGAGTACAATAAATAATACTCTCTCTCTCTCTCTCTCTCTCTATCTCTAGTGTTAGCAAACTCTCTCAGGTTGAGCCCGTGAGCTCACCACCAGTCACGGCGTAGCTGGGATAGCCCCTTAGGCTACCAGTGAATAGGTAGGGAAAAAACCTTAGTATTCAAATAGTAACCAATAGCTATAAAGCAATTACCGGTCATCGTTCTCGTCGAACCCGTCGCTTGCGACGAAGGGCTCGACGAGCGAATTAACCCATAGACACAGCCCACTGAGTTTCTCGCCGGATCTTCTCAGTGGGTCACGTTTTCGATCCCGTGGTAGATTCTGCGAAGCACAACTCTTGCTAAAGTTCGTGTTAGCAACATCGTCAGGTTTGAGCCCCGTCGCGGGCCTATGGCGCGCACATGGCGGTACCTGGGTCCCCGCCCAGCCGGAGTGGAGGAGCTCGTTGGGGTTTAGTCGGTAGTCGTTAAGCTGGGCGGGTTTGGCGAGAGCTGAACTTAGCCCAGCGCGCCTTTCTAAAGGCGTAGTCTCCGTGGACCAATTGGTTGAGGGCGCGGACCTCGGTTCGCGACTTCTTCCTCNGCGAAGGCGGGCCTATGGCGCGCACATGGCGGTACCTGGGTCCCCGCCCAGCCGGAGTGGAGGAGCTCGTTGGGGTTTAGTCGGTAGTCGTTAAGCTGGGCGGGTTTGGCGAGAGCTGAACTTAGCCCAGCGCGCCTTTCTAAAGGCGTAGTCTCCGTGGACCAATTGGTTGAGGGCGCGGACCTCGGTTCGCGACTTCTTCCTCTTTCCACCGGAGGCGCGGAGTCCGACATAACCCGGTCCGACCCCCGTCGGCAGGGTATCCGTAAAGACTAGGATTCCCCATCGATACCAAAAAAAAAAAAAAAAAGGTTTGAGCCCCGTGAGCTCACCTGCTAATTAAAGTTACGCTAAGATATGGTTTCTCTAGAGTCTAGACCATCAGATTAGGTAGCAAAAAAAAAGAAGCAATTACTTTTAACTGAAAGTAAAATAAAATAAAAATAAACTGTAGAATTACACTTTGTCAGACGTCATAATCATAATGTCAATAAAAGCTTAGAAAGTCGCGTAGGTGCGCGGTGTACGTAATCTAATTAAAGCAACCAAACTTAAATATTAAATTGAGTTGGAGCTTTTAAGCTGCAAATGTAAATTTGTTAAGAGATTAAGCGAAATACAGGGCTTGCGTCGTGTGTGGTCCCAGTGGCAACGGTCGGCAGAGTGCTCTACTATAATTAAATTTAAATATGCTTTTTAGCATTTGTTCGAAGTTTTTATTTGTGTGAAGTTGTTCAAATGGCTGTATTCAATATTTAATTTATATATTTGTATTTCGCATTAGATTTTTTGTATGTGTGTGCATTTCAATTCAATTAAGCAATTCATGAAAAAAATTCGTTGTCTGTAATGGCGGTTTACGGGCGATAGTTTTGCGTGATAAGGAGCTAGCTATGAGGTCATGCGAGAAGAGAGATAAATGTGTCACAAGCCAACGCTCGGGCCGACTGTATCTCTCTATCGCTTGTTCCGTGCTCTCGCTTGCACGCTCAGGCTCAAATGGAACGTGACACTTTTTCGTGCGTGCAGCCGGTGCTCATTGATTTATAAGACGTTCATCATCATTGTCCTGTCCTGCTCCCAGTCACCTGATGTCGGCGTAACATTTTTTCTCCTTCCACACTCCTCTATCATATACCATTTCTTCGCTCACTCAATTTTTATAACGAAATACACACTTAACAAATGTTCACGATTGACTTCCACGGTGAAGGAATAACATAGGACGAATAACGTAGGACCTCTTGTGAGTCCGCACGGGTAGGTACTACAACCCTGCCTATTTCTGTCGTGAAGCAGTAATGTGTTTCGGTTTGAAGCGTGGGGCAGCCGTTGTAACTATACTGAGGCCTTAGAACTTATATCTCATAGTGGGTGGCGCATTTACGTTGTAGATGTTTATGGGCTCCAGTAACCACTTAACACCCTTCTAAGCAATAAAAAAATCCCCTCTTACACATATCGTCTTTCACGCAATCCATCCATTTTTCCTTAGGTCCATCTCTTTCTCTAAAGCCTTTCACATTCATAGTTAAATCTCCTTTCAAAAACATTTATAAGACGTTATCACGTCAAAAAAAGAAACTAATCAAATAGAGCAACATCCAGACCGTACCCGTAAAGTTATCGAGTTAGTGAATACAGCACTCGACTGGACCTGATCATGTTTTGTAATTTATCAGCACGGCTCACTTGGTATTCACCGTTTTAATAATTTACCAGGGTCTTTGTGTCGCGGGGTAGACAGAGAAATGCTTTAACAAGAGAGCGACTGTAAATCATTCTATGGTTTTAGTCAGAATCGTAGGTGGATAATTGCAGGTTTTTTTGCGTAAATGAGTGGACGAGCTCACAGCCCACCTGGTGTTGAGTGGTTACTGGAGCCCATAGACATCTACAACGTAAATGCGTCATTCATCATGAGATATAAGTTCTAAGGTCTCAGTAAAGTTACAACGGCTATTCCACCCTTCAAACCGAAACGCATTACTGCTTCACGGCAGAAATAGGCGGGGTGGTGGTACCTACCCGTGCGGACTCACAAGAGGTCCTCCTACCTTGCAAGCTTATCATGAAAATGGCGTAAGCAAATTTTTTATTTATTTCCACGACGGTGACTGGTTACCGTCGCCCATGGACTTCAGCAATAACAGGGGCAGATCCAAGCCGCTGCCAATATAGCCAGGGCCACACTGATGGAATTCGATCGCCAAGCAGTATTCACTGGTGATAGGACAAAGTAGAGTACCTACAAAAAGTATAGGTTGTCGCGAAGAATTCTAAAGGTCTGGTCTGGAGGTAAGTCGAATGTATGATAAACCTGTTTAGTTTTCTACCTAAAAAGTGGGGGTCTAGTCACGTTCTAATCTATTCCAGTAATCACTGAATATTATGACTTTGGCAAAAAAAAAAACAAATTAATCAACTTGGTACTAAGCGTAAAGAGTAGATATTCAAAATCAACATTTTTTCTCCAACAGATGGCGTGACGGAAAACGAAAATGGCCGCCGTATCCGCCCATATGCAGGATATCAAGATCCAAGACCAGAGCGATGACGATCCATACTCTCCGAACACGAGGGACACGACCAGTCCAGAGTGCCACGACGATGAGAAATCGGAAGACATAAGCATCCGCTCATCCTCTTTCTCCATCCATAACGTGCTTAAGAAAGAGCGGGACAACAGCAGCCCTGACAATGTCTTTTCGACGGACAAGCTCTTGGAGAATACACCGAATTTCGATGATAGAAACACAGAGAGTGTAAGTCCCGTTGTTGAAGTGAATGAAAGAGAAATAAGCGTGGACGATGGTAATTCTTGCTGTAGCGACGACACCGTGTTGTCAGTTGGAAACGAGGCACCCGTATCCAACTACGAAGAGAAAACCAGTCAGAATACCCACCAAGAACTGACCTCCTTCAAACACATACAAACACACTTGAGCGCCATATCGCAGCTGAGCCAAAACATGAATGTGGCCCAACCGCTGCTATTACGGCCAAGCCCAATCAACCCAAACCCAATAATGTTCCTAAACCAACCGCTTCTGTTCCAAAGTCCGATCTTGAGCCAAGACTTAAAAGGTATGCCCAACAGGCAAACAGCCAACGTGATCAGTCCAACGTTTGGCTTAAATTTCGGTATGAGATTGAAGGCCAATCATGAAACACGAACGAGGTCTGATGAGAATCGGTATTCGAAGCCGGAAGAATCTAGAGATTACATCAATCAGAACTGCCTTAAGTTTAGTATAGATAATATTTTAAAAGCTGACTTCGGAAGGAGGATCACCGATCCTTTGCACAAAAGGAAAGTGAAGACGAGATACGAGGCTAAACCTGCTCCAGCAAAAGATACTGCGGCTTTTGCTCCGAAGCTGGACGAAGCGAGGGTACCTGACATCAAAACACCAGACAAGGCCGGAGCCATCGACCTTTCTAAAGACGATAGCGGAAGCAATTCTGGATCAACCTCCGGTAAGTAACAGCGCGATGCTAACAATTCACGCCGTAATATTTATGACGCTTTGAAGACTAGTACCCGCGAATGGAAAATAGGAGTAGGAGATATATTGTCCGTGTCCTCTCATTTTGGTCCTTGATATTTAGAGTTTTCCAATTTAGACATACAATACAGTTCTTCGGTTAACTACGATCAGGTTTTTTTTATTTTTTTATTGCTTAGATTGGTGGAAGAGCTTACAGCCCACCTGGTGTTAAGTGCAGGCAGAGTGGTGGTACCTACTCGGACTCACAAGAGGTCCTACCACCAGTCCCTTCACCTAATGCAGTAAGAAACCAATAATTGATTTATCTACGTGCTTTTAGGTGCAACTTCAGGCGACAGTCCGATGGTGTGGCCCGCGTGGGTGTACTGTACGAGGTACAGCGATCGACCCAGTTCCGGTGAGTTTAATCTTTAAACGAGCAATTCTTGTATATAAATATAAATAAATAACAAATAAATAAATATTTACTAACAATCACGCCACGTTAACTGGTCCCGTGCTAAGTTCGTAAAGAACTTGTGTTACAGGTACCAGATAACGGAAATAAATGTAAGATTTTTTATTATACATATACATATGTGGCGTTTAAGAACGCATCTTTTTATGATGCGTAAGCCGGAACGCACGAGAAGTGGAAAAAAGTGTATAATCTATGACGGGACCTTTTTACCGCCGAAAATTTAAAACGTAAAAAATTATTTATAATTTGTTTAATAACTAATGTAATATAATTACTTAGAATTGTTTATGCTGCTACAACAATAAAATTTATATTGTTCCAACTGTGGTGTTAATTACATAAAACACGACTTTATGGCGAAATAAAGAAGGGACTCTATATGAACTCCCTTACATATATTTAATATACATCCATAACCCTAGAAAAGACATTTTATATTTATCATACAAATATTTTCCCTTGGCGGGATTCGAACCTGCGACCCCTTCGTGCAGTGACCATGTCACTTACCACTACAGCAGACGGCCGTAAATATTTATATGATCTGAATCTCGGAAACGGCTCCAACGATTTTCAAAAATTTAGTATGCATGGAATTTCGGGGGCGATAAATCGATCTAGCTACGATTTATTTTCAGAAAATGTCGTTTTATTCGTGTTTTCAATTATCAACTTTGAATATCGATAATTTTGATTTTTTCTTTAAATAATCAGTTCATATTTTTTAATTATTCTGTCGGTAAGATCGAAAATTATTATTAATATTTCATCATTTTATCTATATGTAATTCGTATTTAAATATAATTTCTAAAAAACATAATTTATCAAAAAAAAGAAAACTAGTTTTAATGAACACTGCTAACCTGGATCCGTGGATGAAGTTATCGGGACGTATGGGAAATACGTGCTGAATTATTGGGCGGATTTGGTTCGACATCGCGACGTGTCGCCTTGCGGGAGAATCTGCTGGGCTGGTGTAGACAGAGAAACCAAATAGCCAAGATTATGAACCAGCAATTGGACTCTCGTGTATTTCTGTTATCACTAATTTAATAGCGGCTTAAGAAATTCTTGGAAATTGTCTTTTTAAGGGATGTTTTGTTTCCCATTTTGGGCATCGAGCAACGTCCTTACGGTCCCATCAGATCCAATAACCTTTGCATTAGACGCATTCAGCTCTAACACTAGGAGCAGGCCTAGAGATCCCGGTAGCCGTACTCGTCGAACTCGACAAAGGGTTCGACGTGCAACCTAACCCATGAATCAGCTCGCTGAGTTTTTCGCTGGATCTTCTCAGCGGGTCGCGATTGCAATCCGGTAGTAGATTCATTCGCGAAGCAGCTGCTCTTGAGTTGTTAGGTCTCCTTCGGAGGCGCTCGGGCAGCTGTTAGCAAATCCCAACCCTCATGGCTGATCCTTTGCTCGCCCACCTGTCCTGGTGAAACTGGAAAGGCCTTGGGGCCAACAGTATTCCTTCAATCCTAAAAAAAAGTGATTTCTTGTGATGAGAACATTTTGGAAGTAAAAAAAAATCGATTGAATAATAAGGCATTTTGAATGAACCATCACACTTTCATTAGCGTGTAAGGTCTGGTGAATTAAGTGGAAGCTTTCGTCACGCAAACTGATCTGACAATGCACTGTAAGCTGGTTACTCATTCTGGAGTCCAGTGCCAGTAATGGGTCTTATGATCTCACACTGGACTCTTATCATCCCCATAGACATCCACAACCTAAATGCGCCACCCACCATTGAGATACAAGTTCTAAGGTCTCAAGTATAGTTACAACGGCTGCCCCACCCTTCAAATCGAAACGCATTACTGTTTCACGGCAGAAATAGGCAGGGTGGTGGTACCCACCCGCGCGGACTCACAAGAGGTCCTACCACCAGTAAAAAATAGGATTCAGCCGGCGAGAGAATGAGATAGAACACATTATTTGGAAATACAAAGTTCACGTGATTGACCCATGTATTTTATTGGGGGCTATAATATGAAAGATGCTAAAAAGAAGCGATTTCGTTTTTTTTTGTTCTTCGCCAAAAATATTTTGGGGTAATAATTAAAAAAATTCCCCGACCGCTGCACTAAACAAATCAGAGTTAGACTTAGTTATCTAAAGTTTGACGGCATTAGTGGTATTTATAGGCTCTGGGTGAACACTTAACACCAGATGCGCTTTAAGCTCGTTCACCCAATACATAAAAAAGTGGTGAACTACAGTCTTTCCATTTTTTGGCCTCGGTATCTATCTGTTTAACGCAATTATCCTATCCTCTTGAACTTCCAATTGGACTATCCGTTGTCATTAAAGCTTCGAAAACAATACGCACAAAATTAAATCGGAGCTTGAAAGCCAATAAAAACGCTTGTCTGCAAGCTTATGGACACGCGGCAAACATAATTTCGGGTCTATAAAACAACCCTCATCCCTTATCAACGGCGAACATCCCTCGGGAGTGGTTATCAAATTACGAACAGTCCATTGAATAAGGGGTTGGTTTGATCTATGTTTTTTTTGTCGTGGCTCTGTTTTTCACCAATGTTATTGGCACTGTCAACGGCGATCGAGGACTCATGAGCGCTTCAGCAGGTCTGTAGCTCGCTCTTTCTATCATCAGCTACCTAAGCTAGAAAGATGAATCAATATCCCATGCTGAATTTCAAGATAACATTAAGTAATGTTTTTATCTGCGTAATAATTAGTTGGAGTATTATTTACCTGTGTGGAGGAGACAAACTAGATCTATCCATCAGCCCATAGATACCATAGACATAGGCTTCAAGGCTCATCACAATGGCCGGTTTTGCGATGCCTCCAGCGGCCGTTCTATTTGCAGTGTGCCATGTCCACTGCCACGTCAACATCGCAATCCTATGGGTTACATCCGTGTCAAGGTTTGCCTTCGAATCTCCTGATACAAAATAAGATAGACAAGATAATTGTGCTTACTTCAGCGGCGTCATGACACGGGCAGTGCTCTGAGGAATTGTTTGAGATGATACCATCATCTCGTTTTTATAATCGCACCGCCCGCCATCTGACTAGAGTACATCCATACTACCTGGAGCCTCTGCGTTCATCCACAGTGCGTTTTCAGAGTAGTTTTTTGCCACGTACCATCCGGCTTTGGAATGAGCTCCCCTCCACGGTGTTTCACGAGCGCTATGACATGTCCTTCTTCAAACGAGGCTTGTGGAGAGTATTAAGCGGTAGGCAGCGGCTTGGCTCTGCTCCTGGCATTGCTGACGTCCATGGGCGACGGTAACCACTCACCATCAGGTGAAACGGTGCATCCCGATTTTATCTCGCTTCTTAAGTTTTACAACAACAAAAAAAAACCCAACGTAATTAGGCCGCGAACAACTTTTAGCATCTCGCCGAAAGCTGATGGCTAATTGAATGAGTAAGTTAACAAAACATTAATAAAACAAGTAGTCATCGGAATTAATTGTGATTTTTCGAGATGTAATCGAATTAAAGATCGTTTGCCGCGAAGCTGGAACGCTTGATAAATATTTATACACTCCGGCCGCCGCGAGGGGAGAGCAAAAATTGGTTTTTAGGGATGTGACACGCGCTATTTATTTGGTTTTGCCGATGAATTTTTGAAGTGAAAACTTCTTTAGAATCGTTGTGATTTCAAACCGGATGCAACGGAAAAAACGACAGGTAAGAGACACAAATACAAAAATGTGTAGGATGAAGCCAGCAAAGAATGAGACAGAAATATACATACTATTTAATACAGCGCCATCTGTGAGATTTTTTAATACTAACGTGTGTATGAAAGCTCTTGTAGTGAATTTTAATTTAGGATTATACGTAAAATTAAAATATCAATTCACAGAGGGCGCTACCTTACAATTATTTACTAATGACAAAATTTTATATATACTTAAGACGTTTAGGATAATTGTATTTTAATTTTGGAAGGTTTCACTTCTACCACGTGTGAATTGCACACATTTTGTTAATTTATGTATCTCTGCGAGCGGTTATTGGTGGTAGCAGCCCTTGTGCGGGTCCGGGTAAGTAGGTACCACCACCCTGCCCATTAACTGGAAAGGCTTCCGGGCCACCAGTTATATCACTTCCTAAAAACCTAGCTGTCAGTAATGCATACTAACCCACGACGATGAGTACGACGGGCGAACTAACCCATCGCCACAGCCCACTGAGTTCTCGCCGGATCTTCTCAGTGGGTCGCGTTTCCGATCCGGTGGTAGATTCTGCGAAGCACTGCTCTTGCTAGGGCTAGTGTTAATAAATTTTGTGAGGTTGAGTCCGTGAGCTCACCTACGTACGGGCGTAGCTGAAATAGTCTCTTAGGCTACCAGTGAATAGGTACGAAAGTAATACTTGCCCAAATCAATGGTCCACGTCGCCACCCACGCCTCTTGCGTCCTTAAACGCGCTTCGAAGTCGTCGTGGCCTAAAGGATAAGACGTCCGGTGCATTCGTATGAAGCGATGCACCGGTGTTCGAATCCCGCAGGCGGGTACCAATTTTTCTAATTAAATACGTACTCAACAAATGTTAACGATTGACTTCCACGGTGAAGGAATAACAAACATCGTGTAATAAAAATGAAACCCGCAAAATTATAATTTGCGTAATTACTGGTGGTAGGACATCTTGTGAGTATGCAGGGGTAGGTATCACCACCCCGCCTATTTCCGCCGTGAAGCAGTAATGCCTTTCGGTTCGAAGGGTGGGGTAGCCGTTGTAACTATACTGAGACCTTAGAACTTATATCTCGAGGTGGGTGGCGCATTTACGTTGTAGATGTCTATGGGTTCCAGTAACCCCTTAACGTCAGATTGGCTGTGAACACGTCCACCCATCTAAGCAATAAAAAAAAAAACCTACCTTCAATTATTACATAGCGTAGACATTTGTAATCATCATCATCGATGTATCATCCGGTTTT